TGTGCAACTAATAAATTTTTAAAATTAATTTTTGAACAATTTTATTTACACCAACATTTCGACTACATTCTATAGTCATCTTCAGAGTACTACTATAATATTTTTACAATTTAGCAACAATTGTATAGAAACTGCAACAAAACAATTATACAAAAAATTATTTTGAACTTTCATATGCAATTTCTATTCTAAGTGCTATATGGTTCTAAAATGAATATAATCATTAAAAGAAATGAACTATCAATTATATTGGACTCGAAGTGCAATTTATATTGCTAAATTGGAATAATATTACACAGCTCAGTATTTGTGTTTCAGTAATAAACAAATGCAAATGCGGTTCGATAGTAGTTAGTAAACATCAAATCCTAAATGATATACCAACAACTTACTAAAGCATATATATGTATCCATCCATAGAATATATGTACAACTTTTAACGATTCTTTATTAGAAGGCTCTTCAATGGTTCGTAGACATTTTCGTATTCGAAGTTTTTAATATTTTAAACTATTAGATACGTTTATTTCCGATAAAGAACGCTTTCTTTATTTTTACCATCAAATACTGAATATTTTACGAAAATTTATGCTAATTTAATGATGCTTTCAAATTGTTTTAATAATTTTCTTAATAATAATTTATCAAAATTTATAGAAAATAAATGATATTATAATATATACTATGGTTTGTTTTGGAGTTTACATATCTGTAAGGTAATAAATAAGGGGCTTTAATATTATGTATCAACATTATCAAAAAATTATTCTAAACAGAAATTACTCCAATTAAATAAATTCATATTAATTATGAAGTGAAGCCTTTCACTCCACTCATGCATGCTGTCAATGTTTCAGATTAATTCATATATATAATTTAGAATAAAAAAAGTACCAAGAGCTTTACAAAATCGCGATAAAAATAAAAAAATTTCTGTAGAAAGTCTATGCATAAATATTGTCAATGTTTAAGCATTCCATTAATCGCTACCTTTATCATAAGTATTGAAAGTGGTTTATCAGAAATTCTACTATTTTTTTTCACTAAATTAAGTTCAGTGAAAAATAATAATAAGACCTTAAATTAAGTTAAGGTATTACGTTTATAAGCGACAGAGAGGTATTTAATCACTGATTTCTTATTTTTGGGGAAGAAAAAAAAAAACTGAGGACATGTCAAATTTTTTAAGGATTATTTGAATTAGTGCAAATGTGCTTACATACTGGAAAATTCTAGGAAAATTGAGTCTATCCTAAGAATGGCTATTATATCCTCTTCATTTTTATTTTATGTGCTATAAGCCGTTTAAGTGTAAATACAAAAAAATTGTGAAGTCATTTACATAGCAATCACTTCAACCATGGAAAAGACTCCTTGGGAATTATAACATACAAATCTTTTTTAATAAATTAAATCTATTAGGCCATTGGGCATGATAACATTCGCACTCTTGAGGTTGGAACGCACATCTAAACAATATTTAAGTAAGCACGCACACCATAGCGTGTCAATATGCAACTACAATATTTTAAACTACGACATCGGAGGAAATTAATGATATAAAAACCCTTTGTATAAGGATATAACATTAATAATAAATAGAAATATGAAAAAAAATCAATAATTTAATATCTTTTAAAACTATTCTTATATGCAAGAACTTTAGTTAGCATAGTATAAGTTCATTAAAAACCTAATGATTGGTTAAAACAACTGTTGTTAACACAAAAGACTTTATTCGCAGATCTACACTATTTTCTATTTTTATAATATTTTTCAATGGTATAAACAAGAAATTCGAGACAAGATTTTTTATTCTCTATTTTATATCTCTATAAATCTATTTTTTATAATTCTTCAAATTCTTCAAATTATGAAGAATTACAGTAGACATCCAATAAACAAGCACTTAATTTAACAAACAACTTAAATCTGTTTTGGTCAACAACTTAAACCGTCATGTAACCATATTCATGATTATAAACTCATACTCTCAGTATATTGTATATTGACAATATCCGGACACAGTCGTGTGTAGTCACTAGAAATGTTTTCACAACACAACTTTTTCACTTAACCCTAAAAATATTTAATACAAGCTGGCATAACATACCCACATAAAATATGTAAATAAAAAATAAAAAGATAATATATAAATCATAAATAAATAAATAGATAAATAGATATTACGAATCCAGACCTCTTTATATAAAATAATCAATGCTTTGACGAATACTGCATGATAATAACAAATATGAACAAAAACAAAAAATCTCCCTGAAATAACACCTAAAATACTTGACAATACTGCTGTGAAACACTTAACGCTTCTAAACAATAGGTTATAGGCACTAATGCAAATCATACTAAAATTATGACTTTACAAATCCTTCAACAGGACCATTAAAATTTAAAGAGCATCAAGAACCAAAAGCGACATTAGCTTTAAAAAATTAGATTCTATAAACTATAACTATAAATAATAAAATCTATTTAACGAAATTTTCGATTTAACGAATTTGTTAACGTCTATATTACATTCGTTTAGTGTCTTTTATTATTTATCATGTTAAATGCATCGTATATTAAACATGCGAGAGAATTGTTTTCTAGAAAATATTAACCAAGTTTAAATACCGACTTTTAATTGGACCAAATTTGGTCCAATCATAGGTTCAAAATAATTTAAAACTTTTCGACTTTTATTCATGTGTATAGACTAAAATTTTTTTGTCTTTCATATTTTATCATATATCTAGCGTTGTATATTTAACATGTAAGAGCATCATTTTATAAAAATATTAAACAGCTTTAGGGTTTGTTTTTTTAAGAATATTTTAGGTTTTATTGTAGATTTGAAGTAATTTTAAATCCTTTGAATTTTATACGGCAAGGCATTGTGCATAATTTGGCTGTTAAAGTGATAGTAATAATCGCATCTAATCTAACGCATTAAAAATTACTATAATCATGTTAATATCTAATATTTAATAATAATTTTGTTCTTCTTGAAATAATTATTCAAAATGTTTTACTATTAATAACATTAAGTAGTTTAAATACTGAAATTAAATACAGTAGAAGCTCACAAATTAGAACTTTTACTAATTCCAATTGTCTGGAAAATTTTCAATATATTGTATGTACTAAAAACTTCTAAATTAGAACTTTTGGTTCTAATTTTTGAGCGAATATTACAGCGAATATCTGTTCAAAAAAACAAATGCATACTTCAAGAGAGATCTAAGTATGAGTTCAATACCGATAATAATACATCAAATAAATTTGAAAACGAAAATTTGGTATACCCCTTAATGGTTTATGGTCAGTACATATTTTGAAATGTCTTCCCAGTAAATATGATCTAAAACTTTTAGTTGCTTAAACTATAGCTAAAAATACCTTTTCTATTGTTGAGTATCTTTGCTCCGTATTACCCAGTGCACGGCTTGCGAAATAAAATCTTAAAAATCTGATCTTACTCTCTGAGATAGTACTGCCCCTAATGCCTCATTGCTCGTATCTTCCCAAACCCACACCAAATATGTCTCATTCTGTAGCGATTGAAAGCGACAATACCTTAATAAATTGATTCAAAAAGAATGATTCGTTACCTACTGATCACATGACAAATCTTTTAACTCTCCGTAACAATATCATTATTAAAAAGTTTGACTAAACCTAAAAAACAAACAAACATTACTGAATATTTTAAACAATAATGCTTAATAAAGATGGATTTGAATTGTGAAATAAAGTTTTTACTTATATTTAAATAGAAATAAAAAAAACTATAATTTATTATTTATATTTAAAAACATTGCATTGACTGCAAACATGAGCCTGATCTTGACAATATAAAGATCTTGTTGCATAAAGAAAGAAAGAATGTACCATTATAAAAGGTACTCTCTAGAAATGCTTTCAATACTTAAAATTGCGAATAGTTTAAAGACTAAATAATTAAACGGATACGGACAACTGTGCTCAGGGTTATAAGAATATTATTAACAAATGACACATGATGTATATGTTTTTCTAATTTTTATTCTCTTTTCTTTGGTTTTTTAGAATTTTAGAATTTTTTAAAAATTCGAATTACCCGAAAAACCAAGTGCTTCTAATTTGTGGGACTCTACTGCACTAGATAAATACTACATTCATAATTAATCTATGAACATTTTTAGAGGCATTTATTTACTTAACAAAGTCGAAATATTTACTTTTTTTGTATTTAATGTTAGAAGCTTTAAGTAAGAGTAAATGATTTAATTGTGCTCGGGCTAATCTTATCAACTGATAAAATTTTGTACTAATTTAGCAGCATTAAGACACTTAAAATACAACGTTAATTATAGAATTATGTCCCCGTGCAAGTTAAATGCCAAAACAACAAAACTGGAAAGCAACAATTAAAGTTGAACGCATATGATACCAGAAAGGATATGTAGAACACGTAAATGCATTTCTGATATTGATTTTCAAGCTCGGAATTTCAATTTGCGTGTACAATTTGTTTCCTTTTGTACCGGGGACACAACATGAAATTGTTTGACCATAGCAAAGTATATTGTACACATTGCTAAAGCAATAAAATTTTATTAGTTTTATAAATAAAACAATACAAATGCCAACCAGACAGACAGATAAATTGCTTTGCATATACCTAGTGGTTTGCTGATAATGAATGCCATCGGCTTAAAAGCAATTTAGCGTTATTTCCCCAATAAGCAAAACGATATAAAATTCAAAAATACAAAACGAAACAAAAAAAAAACAAAAAAAATGGAAATTCTAATAAATTCTTAACTAAAATAACAAAACTAGGTAATGACCATGTAACACAAGTACTTGTGCACAACTATTAACTGTCATGACGTATTCGTTACTGTTGTGTCATTAATTACCCCAGCAACATGCATATACCTATATGTTGCCCTTATATATGTTTGTTTCAATGTTTACTGAAATACTCAACAAAAGTGCCATTTGGTACTTACCCGTTTGGTACTGATACATTTGCTCCATCGAGTATTGCTTGCGCCAACTGAAAATCTAAACCTTCTGCAGCTGTAGTTGCAGCACGTAAAGCATCCCAAATTTCTTTGCGACCATCAAATGCCGGTGCAGTGTCCCAAAATTCATCTCTTTTTGAACGCAATTGACCTTCAGTCAGTGGCACATCAGAACGCCAACGTATAGTTTCATGACAAAGTGGACGATTTTTACGTGCAGCACCCGCTTGTGGTCCTTAAATAAAAGATTGTTTTTTAAATAAGCGACTGTTTTTTAGTATTTTATTTAAACTTACCACTTGGCGGTCGTGAAACGCTTGCAGACGAAACACTTACAGTCTCATTGTCTGTACTATGTATGCCCATGCAGCCACCCATTATTTCATTTATACACTTCTTTATACAATATTATATATTTTTATATCAATATTTTTATAAAAATATATATACAATTTAGTTCTACAAATTACCTTCACGAAAAAACTAAATGAAAAAACAAAAATGTAAGTTGCTATTTGCTGTTTTTGTATTATTGCACTGCCGACATTTTTCAACTAATTTTAATAAGTTTTTGTTTTCTACTGATATGTTTTTTGCCAATAATGCTCGCTAACTAATTTATAATACACGAAATTTGTGGTTTTGTTTTTTTTTTTGTCGCTTAGAAATTGATATTTAACACAATAATTTACTTTTATTATCTGCCTTTAGCCAAACATTTTAGCAGCGAATTAACTAAATGTCTATGTCTGACATTCCCGTCAGCTGTTATACACAAATATCGAAAATTCGAACATCCGTTGACAGCTAATTTTACTCCACACAAGTAGCTGACTACGAGTACATAGCTTGCTGCTCAAAGTTGTTAAAAATAAGAATTTAAACTGAACCTTTTGTATGAAATTAAATTAAAATGTATTCTATTATAATTTTGTATTAAATTTACATAAATATTCTATTAATATATTAAAAAAAAAATTAGGTAATAACAGTGACAAATTAAATTCCCAAAAATCATTAAAGGTCATTATATACTTTTAAAAGAAAAACAGTATTTTTTTTATACAAGAATGAATTATTATTATTATTAAAACAAGGGATTGTACACTGCGACCTAAAAGATCTATTGTGCCCCTTACTCGGGTTAGAGTATTTCTCCAAGTCCGATTTCTTTAATGAAAGACAGTATAGAGCCTACCTCTCCTAGTCTTGAATTTTTATGATTCATGAAATATCGTCCTAGATGTTTCATCCGCGTGTGCATCAGTACCGGGCACTCCCCAAACACATGGTATGCAGTTTCTCTCCCTTTTCTACAGTATCTGCAATCTGAGTTGGATTGAATTAATAACTTCGATAGGTGATTATTCAGTCTACAGTGACCAATTAATAATAGCGTAATAATTCTTAGGTTATTTTTTGATTGTGCTATGTAATCTTTGAAGCGTTTTAGGTTGTAAGTCCCTAACAGCATTTTAGATTGTGGAAGTCCTGGTAACCATTCCCAATAGAGTTCTCTTTCTTTTTCTTCTGCAGCATTCATAAGAATCGATAGAGCACAAGAATGAAAAAAAATCTAAAATATGATACAAATAATGACCCTACAAAAATTAATAAAACAAAAATTTAATAACTAAAAATAACAATATTATAGAATTTTTTTATTTTTAAATACTTATATATTTATTTATTGTATCTTCTCTTACAATGAGACCAACAATAAGTTTTAAAATATTATCACTAATTACATAATATTATCATTTAAATAAAATAAAGTAAGTAAACCTTATAACACGAACCTCATTTAGATCAATGGGTTAAATTTCATGGGAGTGAATGTTAGGGGTTAACATGTTCTATTACCCTTTTATTGTATTTTTTCTCAAATTCAGCTTTAACTAAGGGAATTTGTAGATCTCGGGGAATACTTTCATTCCTAATATACCATAGGTTCTTAGTATTTTTGACTGAGCTCTTTGGATAATTTCAATATTTGAAGCTCTAGCATTACCAAACAGCTGGACACCATAAGTCCATATTGGTTTTATGATGCTGATATACAAGAGCATATTATACACTAGGCACAGGGGGATCTATTATTAATGAGCCAGTGCAACTTAGAGGCTTGGAGCTTCATTTGAATTTTTTTGACTTCAATATGCTTGCGCCAAGTTGATCGTCTGTCTAGGTTAATATCTAAGTACGTTATATTATCTGCTTGTGGAATGGGAATGTTTAGTAAAATTGTTGGAGATGTACTCCGATTTAATGTAAGAATGATGTGTCTACATTTTAGTGAATTAATTTTAATTCTGAAATTCGATTAAATATGTTTGGAATTTATCTGAGTACAACTGATTCCTAGCCTTAAGGTCCACATTTTACAGGTTTGGGCAGAATGAAAAGAGAAGAGGATGTTCTAAGATCCAGTTTACTTTACTATCCCTAACTTAAATACAGAATATACGAATGCGGTTTGATAAGTCAACGACTTTTGGAATTTCCCGCGCAGTTACTCCAAATGCAACAGTGCAGCCGTCAGCTGTAATCTACCAGTGGGCAACTTTCTAATTTTGAGCAAGCTACGTCGTTCAGTTGGTGTTTAATAGCCGTTCAAAGCAGACAACCTCGTGACTTTTACGAAAATGGAAAAAAGTGAATTTCGTGTGCTGATTAAGCATTTGTCGAATTGGGATACGAACTACTACCCCATCCAGATTTAGCCCCCTACGACTATTTTCTGTTTCCAAACCTAAAGAAATGACTGGGCGGCAAGAAATTTGAGTCGAATGAAGAAGTCATTACCGAAACAAACGCGTATTTTGAGAGCTTTGAAAAAACTTATTATTTGGACAGAATAAGAAAATTTAAAAACGCTGGACTAAATGTATCGAGCTAAAAGGTGATTATGTAGAAAAATAAAATGTTTATTTGCCGAAAAAAGTTTGTTTTATTCAAAAAGCCACTCACTTATCAAACCGCCCTCGCATAACATAATAAAACATAGCACTATCTAATCTGAGAGCAGTCACTAGCCCTACAGGGCGGAATGCAGATCTTAAATCTCTCATCAAATAATCAGCGAAACTTGTGAGGAATATATGAATTAGTCAAAGAGAAGAGATGAACTCTGTAGAAACCTCCAAGCTAAGAAAGAGTCAAAATGTCCAGGTGCACTACCTCGAAAAAACCTCAACATAAGATAGAATAAAAAACTGATTGAGAAAACGATTTCATCGAAAATAATTCAATAATTTGAATGCAATTATAAGAATAAAATAATTAAAATAATTAATTTTTTATTTATATAACATTTATAAATAACATTTATAAAATTATATAAATTAACATGATTACACTAATGAACATATACAATAGTATCAAGACTAAGACTAGTAGATAAAAGAAAAGTTAGGGAAATAGTTAAACCTGTCACATTAGTTTCTCTGTCATTAGTTCCTCTATTATTAGTTCTTCTGTCAATAGTTCCTGTGCACTACAATATCATGATTTTCGCTGAAGTCATAGGGTCATTGAAGTTTCGTCATCAGTATGTATGTAAACGAATATGATTTGTATAAACTATAATATAGACAATTTTAAAGATTACCTAGTAAAGAAGTAAATAACTTCATAGTTATACATATATATTATATAAAATATCTAAAGTATTAAATTTTATTATAAACTCGTTGAATTTTTATTATACACGATATAGGATAAAAAAGTATATACTATAGATTTTATCATAAAACGTGATACGTAAATAAAAGAGTTGATATCATAGTGAACTCAAAATTACTATATAACCACAGACTTTGGAGAAATTTTCGAAGTTTCTTATTCTAAGTCCTAGTATGCACTATAAAAGATTCTTGCAATTATTTGGAATATTTTTTGTAATTATAGGAGAATGCACATCAGATTACTGTGATAGAACTAAACTTTGTCTCAGTCAAGGAGATCATATTGCATGTGGTAATGATGGTGTAAGTCAATAGTTAACACATAAGAATGAAAATACAAAGAAAATAAATCAGAATGAAAATTATGAAGAAAAATCGAAAAGAAGTTTATGGACCGAAATTCTCCTTTAACAATAGAGAGAATAGTTCCATCAAATAAAGATATCAATTTTTATTGCTCAGGAGGGTAAATATACTATATAGTAATTATTATTGCGAAATAAATAATCAAGACTTCGTTTGTTTATAGATATAAAAGTGTATACTTTATTGTGTACTTTATTTCTTTTGGTGTTAATTATATTTTGTATTATTTAAATCAGAGACAATTAAATTGTAAAGTTTTCAAAACTTTACTATCAAAATAATATTAAACTTATAACACTCACTTACGCTACGGATACATACCATCTGAAACAAGATGTATGCTATATGTGTAAATATAAACAGTTCCATACAAGCAGATCAGAAATTTGCTTTATGTCTTAAGGTTCTTAATAAAGTGTACCATAAGTTCATGTTAAGATTACCGTAAAAATCTTCTACTGCACCATAGTCTAATATTAATTTTAATTCATCTTATCAGTGTTCTGTGAACAAAAGTACTATTTACTATGTAACTATATATATAACGTATTTACAAGTCAACTAATATTTTATATTCTTTAATATCTTTCAGAGTTTTTCATCAAATTGTAAAGGAAAATGTGAATTAGTTGATATGGCACCATATCAAAGCGATATTCTACATTATCACAATAGCTATCGCAATGATATAGCTGGTGGAAATCTAAAATGTTTTCCACCTGCAGCACGTATGCCTGTTGTGGTAATATATACATATATATTATATATATTTAATAAGACAAAAGTTTTTTTTTTTCAAATTGATCATTGCAGAAGTGGGATCCGGAATTATCATATATTGCAGGGTTTAATGTGAAAACTTGTGTATTTGCACATGACAATTGTCGTAGTACTTACAATTATACTTATAGTGGACAAAATATATTTTATATACTAACAACACGTCTTACTTTGCTAGTGGGTGACATGATAGCGAACGCTATAGATTTGTGGTATAATGAATATTTTTATGCTGACTATAAACTTTTAATGAAATATAACAAAACCACGTAAGAAATTCTTAGTATACCTATATGTATATAATATACTTATGGATATTATTTAGTCCACAAACTGGTCATTTCACTACACTCGTCTGTGATCGTCAGGTAGCGGTAGGCTGTGCTTGTCTTAAAAGTGTATACGTAGATACCAATAATCGTACTAAATTATTTTATATATTCACTTGCAATTATGCTTCCACAAATATACGCAACTATGCGACTTATCAATTTGGAGAACCGGGTTCAATGTGTAAAATGCCCAGTAGCACATATCCGAATTTGTGTGATGATAATGATATTGACGCTAATAATTTCAGGTGGTATTCATTCTAAATGATATATGTGTATGTATATAGATTATTTTATTTTATTTAAAACACTTATTATATTGTATTATTATTATTCGGTGGTTGGAAATTTGATCTTAAAATAAACAATTGTATCCATTCATTTATTAAAGGCTGAGATCTTTTTTTTTTTGCTTTGCAGCAATATTTGCAGTTTCGGTTTATATATATACATATTAGGGTGGTTCGAAAAATAAAAATTTTTTTTTTTCGAAACGCTATAGTGCGCAAAAGTTGCCTTTCATTGTAAAAAGTCCTTCAGAAAATTTAAGACAAATTGCATTCTTTATCTTAAAACCGTTATGCCCATGTGAATTTCAATTAGGGTAAATAAGAATTTAAGTGATGGTGCTAGACACGTTTTCAGGGCTATTCAAACAATTCAACTAACTATTCAATACAGATTGGGGACAAAGTGCGAGAGATGGTTCAATCAGAGCAAAACTATATCAAGATATGCCTGATTTTTCGCAAAAGTCAGATTATACGTTTTTTAAATTAGAATATCAGTAAGGTCTTAAACTTATTTGTATGGGCAGCTTCGTGGTTAGATATGAAAAAAATGTAAAGAAATTAATAACACACCCTAATTGGATTGATGATTGGGTAGGGAAAGGGTGGACAATTTTAAATATTTTCAGTAAATATGCGACTGGTACATATTATAATATGAATGATGTTTAATAGTATTTATATTTCTGGTAGTTTGAACAATATATATTTCAGTTATAACTTGCAACTGCCATCACTTTTAAATATGAAGAAAGGCGCGAAAATTGTGTTTTATTAGTTTTGCGATGATATTGACCGACAGGTTAATATTATTATATCAGTGGTTTGTTATTTTTTTTTAATATTTTGGACTTTAAACTGAATAAGAAAAGTTAAACTGTATTAATTGTATGTATATTAATAACTGTAATTTTTTTTTTGAAAAATAATCGATTTAATCAGTTTTGCTAATTTTTAAGGCGATGCGCGAGCGGAAGATATCAACTGATAATTTTTAGTTTTTCACAGTTTTCTACTCTATAATAGAGGCAACTTTTACGCACTATAATGTTTTGAAAAAAAAAATATATTTCATGTCATCTTACATGAACCAAGGATTCTTAAAAGGCATTAATATAGATACTATTATATGCATAGATGCATAGAGTCTTTACAACTTCTTTGACTCATATTCCATTAAAAGTTATATGACTGATATTATATATTATATATACTTATAACATTGTCTCTTAAGCTTTTTTTAATACTCATCTGACATAATTTGCATAATCTAATACACATTTTCTACAAATCTACTTTGAAATCAACCAAGGATTTTCAAAGGACATTAACATAATTATAGATACTAGAGTCTCCACAACTTCTTTGAGTCATATTCCATTAAAATTTATATGACTGATGGTGTTCCACGCATATTTGATAAGTTCGAATTGATTGTTCTTCTCCTTTGCCAGTCTTCAATTTATTCATAAATAAAATTATCTATAGTGTATTGAACTAAGCCGATAATTTTGGAAACTAAAAAATATTGTTTTGAATATATTTTTATTAATTAATGCAATATCTTATTATTATTGTTATATGCATCATATAGTTTAACTGGAGTATCAAAATAGTCTGAAAATTATTAATTGTAGAATTTCAATATTTAAAACTATTTTAAAAATATTATATGTATTCCATAATTTGAAAGTAAATATAATGCAACGAGACTTTGTTGAATAAAATTAAGTACTCCATTTTAAAGAGCTTCAAATTATAAATTATTGAACGTTCATTTAACTTCATTACGGTTTAATTCAAAGTAAGCACAGTTAAAAGTTAAAATGCAGCAGAAATTTATCTCAGGGTCAAAAGTAAATTGTAATAGGTGCAGCGGTGCGGTTGGTTCCGTGCAATGAATATGATTTGAGTGAGAAATCCGGTTGCAAATTAAGAAAATTAATTAATAATATAAAATTTAAAGTAAAGTAAATGTAATGTATAACTAGTTGTTTGGTTGTTTGATAGGTCCTTTAATGCTTTTATAAACCAGCATCTATCTACATCTAGTATTTATAACTAGATACAGTTTACTTATAATAATATATGCTTCAGGTATAATTGAGTTATTAAAAATCAGTTAGCAAAAGGGTTCTTATACAAGAACTTTTCATCTATGTAGTCATTATTAGTATATATTTCAACCATTTTAACAAATGATTAGCTTATGTATATACAGTAGCTACATGAAAACATAATCTTAATCCTCTTGATATAATTAAATTGTAAAATATCATTTTCTAAGTTTCCTTTGTAAAAGTCTTTACGCCAATCTGCAAATATATGGATCCTATGACAATTTCGGGTTACGATAGGATTTTCGACCAAGAAATTGCAGGCTTGTCAGAAAATGGGCAACCTCGCTGCTTATAGACCCGAAACTATTCTTTGGCTTGCGAAAACGTAATTCTTTTTACTCTTTCAAAAAAAAGAGGAAAAATAAAGAAAGCTATATTGAGATAATCGACAAGGGCTACAACAATTAAAATCACTTATAGGGACACGACATGAACAAGCCAGCAAAGCTTCAGACAGCTTTCAAAGTGAGCTGTTTCACTAGCTCATGGAATATATTGCTCTATGCTCTATGATTTTTGATAGATATTGTATTTAACTTTCAATCTTAGACGATTTAAGGATTATGTGCAAGTAAGTAAAACTAATTTAAGAATCATTACAGATATTCTGACAAACCATTATAGGTTGAACTATTGCTTTATACTGAAAACTTACTCCAATAGAATTTGTATGTTTTTTATGGCAGAAAATTATACCTTAAAACACGTGCTAGGAGTTTATCCGACAATAAAGCATAAACGAAAGAGGTACCTAGGTAGACATCTCGTATCGGATGAATAAATAAATAATAATAATAAAATAATAAAATTTATAGAGAAAGTTAAACTTATAGAAATACTGTATTTAATTCAATATCAATGTCTTACAATCAAATTATATGAAAATAGCAAACTTTAAACTTACATTTCTGTAGTAAAAACATCTAATTAAGAAATGAAAAATAGCCATCATCTTAAATAACTGCATTAAATAAATTGTTATTTTCTAAATTAGAACCAATGGATTAAATTTCTTATAAAAGTCCTTGACATCAAATTTTTTATTTACCAATTAGCTATACCGGTTCACTGTTTGGTGATGTAAACAACTGGATTTTAATTCTTGAAAAATTATGGACATCAAAATATCTGCGCCCTGACGTCCATAATAGAACCGGTAACAACAACTTATTATTTTATGGGTGGGTGAACAAACTTTAGTTTCAACGAGATGGTGCTATATGTTACATTATCACTGAAATCAATAAGTTTTTAAAACAAATTTCGATATCTTAGTTATATCCAGTGATGAAAATGAGATGCTGCGGTCCTTGATTATGTAATTTACCACCAATAAATTATTTGTTGTGGAAGTTATTAAAGTTTTTCTAGAAAACAATTATAAAATACTGATATACTGCGTAATATATTGTAAAATTTGGAATATTTGATTCAAAATTACAATAATATTATATTATATATTATTATGTTGAAGATGTCTTGAGCTAGTACACTTAAGCACTTATACTCTTTTTTAACTCGAGGTTTCTTCAAAACCCCTCTCTACACCTTGACTAGATTATTGTTTATCACTTCATCAGACTAAGCAATAATTGACCTCAGATACGCATACCTCCTCGAGGAGGAGAATAATATAAAACTATATATAATAATTATACATATTATAACATATGTAATACGTTACAAAAATTAAAATTTTAATAACAATAACTAGAACTGTTACCTTTAAGAAATCAGGTATAATTTTGCATTGGATATAAAAAATGTTTGGAACCTAACAATGTTATCATGGTAATCATTATTAATGTAACAAAACTTATAATAAGAAATAAGTTTTGTTGCTTCGAAAGTCTTAACCTTGACCGAACATATTACATTGGAGTTAATTATTAGATGGTTTTAATTTAAGAGATCTGATCTTGCCTCAACAAACACTTCTTGATCCAGACAAAAAGTAAACATTCACACCAAATCTAATGTTATATTGTACCGATTTCCAGACATTTAGTATTGTTATTTGTAAAATTTTATTTCCAAATTTGTAGCGAATCTAGCAACGACAAATACAAAAATTTCCATAAATCTTGAAAAATTTATTACTTTGAGTAAAATATAATCATATCAATTAATTGAGAATATTATGGAACTACGTCAATATTAAAAAACTTGTAATATAATCTTTTCAAAAATTTGCAAGTTTATAGTTTTAATTTTAGTTTTAAATTCTGAAAACTAAAAATTTTCTTATAAATATATTAAATTTGTTTTAAAAAAAATTCAAACTAAGTAATGGTATCAATCATCTATATAAAGTTTTAAGAAAAAATTTAACCATTTACTATTATTAACAACCAAGAAAGTACTATGAGTATTAGACTAACTCAAGTAAGATTTTATTATTTTTTTTGTTTTTCTTTAACTTTATAGTAAAATAATAATATCCGACAATTTTTGATAATTTGTTAATTTTATTAAATATAAGCGTCATAATTTTGAGGTTTCCACTTCATTCTTCTCTTGGGTTGACTTTAGATACAATTCACTCCGCAAAGAACATACGTATTTGTCAGCTGAGTTTCGTAGAACTAACAGAGGAGTGCATAATTCATATGATTTAAGCTTGAAACTTGTTATGCTCATAACAAGATACATTTTTCATCAGAAAAAATAATAAAAACTTAAACAGCTGAGTTCGTCATATTCCAGTTGCAACGAAATTGCAAACTGGAATGGTGATACTATGGCTCTCCGTAATGGTAGTTGGTATAGAAGAAATATGCACTAAAGAAAATACAAACAACAAACCAGACGACCTCGACGTTATGTTGTAGTAGAAAAGTTGTTTTAGGAGCTAAACGTAATGCTTTGAAGTTATTGAATTAGAGAAATTTACGAGTAATCGCATTTATATGGGTACCAAAAAAAATAA